ACCATACTTAGATTTTTCAGAGATCAAATGTGAACATTTTGGAGGAACTATTTTTTTTTTTTTTTGGTACTGGGGATCGAACTTGGGACCTTGCAAAGTGCTAGCTAGGAACTCAGGGAGCTTACTAGTGTTTATAACCATTGTGTCCTGGGGGGAAAGTAGGAACTATTTTTTTTTTTTTGGCCCTGGGGATTGAACCCAGGGCTTTCATACTGGGCTATATCCCCAGCTCTTTCTATTTTCTGAGTCAGGGTCTCACTAAGTCACTAAGTTGTCCAGGCTGGGCTCAAACTGGCCAACCTCCAGCCTCAGCCTTCTTAAGTGCTGAGATTACAAGTGTGCACTGACTGTGCCCCACAAGGCAGGACTGTTTTGTTCCTGGGTGATGACTGTGTCTGTCATTGGATGTATGGTTCAGTGCATCTGGTGAGTTTGTGTGCACCAATGTGTGTGTCATGTAAATGTCTATGTATGTCTGTGTGTGTGTTCTATGTATTTGTTGGTGCTACTGTGTACTGTGTGCCTGTGTATGTTCATGTGCATGTGTATCTGAGTGATCATGGCTGATGTGTGTATTATGTGTCTATGTGTGTGCTTATGTGTTTGTGTCTTTTATGTGTGTGCCACTGTGTTGGTTTATGTTTTGTGTCTGTCCCTGGTAACATACAAGACAGTTATATCCCCAGGGGAAAATGAGCTCTGGGAAAGCTGGGAAGCCTGGCCTGGCTTTTAGGCCCGAAACAGACTGCGTCACTGGTGACATCACAGAGCAAAACCAGGAGCCTGGTAACTGTGGGCAGCCCAGGGGCCTCTCAGGCCAGGGCCAGCTGGAGGGCTCAGCACTGCCCAAGCCAACTCTCACCAACAGCAGGGGTACAGCGCACCAGGTTCAGTTTCAAATCATGAAACGCCACTTTGAAGTCCCTCGGAGAGAAGACTCCTCGACTGATGTGACCACCCTCAGTGTGACCAGCCCCGAGTCCATGGAGAGCAGTCTGAAAATGTGCTGGCCAGGTAGGGAAAAATAGAGGGCTGGAGTGCCAAGGAAGAATGCCCTGGGGGAGGTGCCAGAAGGTCCCAGAAGCTGCCACTAAGGAGGTGTTAACCACACAGACTGGAAGAGGGCAAGGATATTGGTCTTTGTCAATTTGCCAACAACCTAGGCTGCAGGGAGTACAGGAAGTGGTCTTGGGAGTTGTGTGGATGAAAGTGTAAAATGTTAACTATCATGTATTTATCTTAATGTGTATTTGAAAAAAACAATGTGTCAGTGCTATGGCTCCAGCTGTGACAACAATCCCCTTATAATACACTGAGATCTGAAGGCCTCAGGATGTCTCCATGGCCAGCCCGTCACGGTAACACTGCTCTTGGGCCTGAGTGGCTGCATCAGGCATTTCTACTGTCTGTGCCTTGGTTTCCTCATTTGTTGAATGGGAATCAAAACTGTGAGACTTTACAGCTGTTTTGAATATTAAGACTTAAAACATGGTGTGTCCTTACATGGTGAGAGGGACACAATAAGTATTCCAGTAGAAGGCGAGATCCCCCCAGGTAAGACAGACCCATTATAAATGATGTGGGGAAGGTGTGGTGGGCAGCTTTGCCCTGTGTACAGTGGGCATGGAGCAGGTGTTTATGTACACGGCCTCCAGCAGCTGTGCGTGTCTGCTCTGGAGAACTGTGACGTGTGTACCTTTATGGACCCAACACAGCCACAGCCCACAGTGCCTGGTGCAGGAATAGGCATGGCAGCCCGTTCTGTCTCTGTAGCTTTGCCTTCTCTACAGTGTCACCTCGCTGGCAGCTGTCCTGTGTGATTTTTTCACTCTGGCTCCTCTATCAAATGCTGGGTTGCACACACCCCCAGTCACCTTGGTTTACTTATGAGTGGGATCACATGGTGTCCAGAGCACCCTATCCTATGAGCGCTGTACCGCTACCTCTCTATTCCCCCTTTGGTGGCCTCTGGGGGCTCAATCAAGTTTTTGAGTGGCAACATACACCACTGCCTTTGATCATCTGCGGGCTGGGCACCGTCATCTCAATGTCAGCAGAAAATGGTCAAAGGCAGGTGGTGTCCCAGGGGCCCCTCCGCCCCAGAGACTCCTGGAGGTAGGTTACACCCTGTCCCTATCCATGAAGGGCACTGACGCTGATGTCCTTGGGCTCCACAGGAACCACCGAGGGACCGGCGCTGGCTGGCGAGGACCGCCAGTCCCCGAGGACACATTGGCACTTCTCACTGGGCTGGAGCCCCTCCTCACCCTCGTCCGAATCCTCGTCCTCTTATCGCTCCTACTCTCAGCGCCCTTCCTACCGCTTGGGTCCGCGTGGGGACCCGGACCCTGGCCCGCGGAGTGTGCCCGCGCTGTACACCCGCGTGCAGACAGTGCGCGGCGTGGCCGTGGCCTGGGAGACTGAGGCGGGCTTCGCTCCGGTCAGCAGCCGGCCGCGCGTTCGCGAGGCACAGTTCCTCAACCGGCAGCGGTGGCGGGGCTCCTCCTTCGAGGTGGCCTCCAATACAGACCTGCGCGGGGACCTGGAAGTCTGCGGCGGCGAGCGTGAAGCGGAACCCGAGGAGGACTCGGGGCGAGAGGACGATGAGCTGGAGCAGGAGCCGCGCGCTCCGCCGGACTCCCTGGTCACCACCAGACACGGGCTGCGCTGGCTGTGTCGCCTGTTGCCGCGTCTTCCCATCGCTGCCTGCCCTCCTGGAGCACGCGCAGCACGGCGTCCGCGAGGGCTGCAGCTGCCAGATCTTTTTCGAGGAGATGCTGGAGAAGGGGCTAGAGCGGGGCCAGGCGCAGGACCCGGAGCCGGAGCCGGAGCCAGAGGGCGAGGAGCCGAGCCACGAAGAGGGCGGCGAGCACCGTGCCAGGCCCCGTGGTGAAGACCCTGGGTCACGCCAGCAGCAGCAATGAAGTACAGGGGAGACGCCCCTAGCCCTCCATCCCGCCCCTTCCAGCCAGCAGCATCAGAGCCAGAGCGCAGCGGAATGGAGCCCCTTCACGGGCTCAGCTTTTCAAAACCCAAGTGCGAAGAAGTGCGCTTGGAGTGTTTGCGATGGTGCGGGATCCGAGATCTGCGCACAAGCCACAGGAACTTCTTATTTTGTAGGGGGCTCCGCAGGTCCCGCTTGCTGTACAAGATGTGGATCCCAGACGAACCCACTGGACATGAAGCTTTAGCCCTATTTTTACATTGTTAGGAGTTTGTCATTTGCCTGGGTTCTGTATTTTACGTTATTGGGATTAAACTTGCAGTGACTCCTTGAACCATGCTCTCAGGTGGCACCCATAGAAGTGGCTGTTTCTGTAGGTGACAAAGTGGCACAGATGAGGGGAGGAAGGCAGCTTCGCAGGGGGAGATGGGGCTGGGGAAGTCCTGATCTGAGTTCCTGCGTGTCAACTACAGGCCTTTAAATGTTGCCACGGAATGTGTCTTCACTCTCCTGTCCGCTCCCACTGAAGCCAAGTGCATTCGTTTAAGAGATGATATCCGCTCTGGCTCACTGTGTTAGGAACGCCTGCCAGTGGTGTGGAAAAGCCTTTATCCCAAATGCTTGTGAATAGAGGACTCTTGGATTTTTTGAGACATTGGAATATTTGCATATAAATAATGAGATATCTCAGGGATGGGGGACCCAAGTCTAAACACAAAATTCATTCATGTTTCATGTGCACCTTTACACATTCTCCTAAAGGTAATTTTATTTTTAGTTCACCTGTGTTTTGACTGTGACTGCACAAAGGATTTTGGAACATTTTGGATTTTTGGATTAGGGATGGTCACCCTGTACACCAAACTCCATTATTCCAGGGACAGAAAGAATAGACACAAGGCGGGGGTGGACCACATAAAATAGGATGGGGGCACCCAGAAGAGTCCCCCACACACAGGCTGTTGGATCAGGATGAAAAACTCCCCCAAAGGCAATGGTCATGGTGCTTGGAGGACAGGTAGGCCATGGGAAAGGAGTTTCTCAGGGACAGGACTCCTGATGTTACAGGTGAATGGTTCTTTGTTGGGAAATGTTCTCCATCCACTAGGTACCATTCCCTCCCTCTGCAGTTGTGATAATCAAAAATGTCTCCAGGCACTATCAGCTGTCCCCTGCGTAAAAATTGTCCTTGAGAGAGAACCAATGGGACCTTAGAAAAGGGAACGAAACATGACATTTGGGGACTTGCCAGCCACTTGACCTGGCTACAGTGCTGGAAGTGTTTATTTCTCCAAACACTGTAAATAAAGATTTAGCACTCACCCTGTGTCAGGCACTGCCCTGGAATAAAATGTGAACAAAAGGATGGAAAGCTGATGTGGATGCTGCTCAGTGAGCTTGGGAACCTTTTTCATGACCTACAGCTTTTGCTACTGTTTCTGTTGCCTTCTGTGTGCTCTCCCTTAAGTGGAACACAACCTTCTGTCTTCCTTTGGCTGACCTTGTATTCTTCTGGTGTTTCAGCTTAAATGTCACTTTTCCAAAGGGCCTTCCTGGTCAGGCTGCCTTAGCATAGTGTGTGCGGCTGGTGCTGAGAAGTGACAAGACAGGTTGACACTGTAGAAAGCTCTCTCCAGTGGGGTATGGATTGGGATAGTAGCAGGAGAAGGAATTGGAGAGACCATTAGGAGCCTCCTGCAGAAGTCCAGGCCAGGAAAGGTGGTGACACCAACAAGGTAGTAGTAGGCCAAGTAGGGCTTTGGACCTTGAAACCCATCCCCCATGACAAGGAACTCTTGAGAGATTTTAAGCAAGTTGGAGTTGCATTTGTGAAAGATCACCCTGGTGAACAAAGTAAAGGATGAATGAGAGCCAGCATTACTGTAACAAGGTAAACAGCTGGCAGTAGGAGGGACATGAGGGAAACTTAGATGACTGAAACTATGGAGCATGGCTAATGTTTGATGAAGGTGGCAAGAGTAAGCTGTCCAGAACAACTGCCAGGTATTTGGGGGTGGCTGGTGAATGTTGGTACCATTTTCAAATAATGGAATGGGAAGGAGAGAATAAGAGAGGGGAGAAGGAGAAAGAGAAGGAGCAAACACTGGCTGGGATGCTAAGTCTACTTTTTTTTTTTTTTTGGTACCAGGGATCGAACTCGGGTCCTTGTGCTTGCGCAGCAGGCGGCGAAACCACTGAGCTAAATCCCCAGCCCAACTTTTGAACAAGCTGAGTTTGAGACAGGAACATCTGGAAGGGAACTGGTTCAAAAGTTGTGGCTCTTGGAAGCACGGCAATGAGGATGGAGACCTTAGCTGAGGCCCAGGGCATCCCATAGGCCTTGTCTTGGTCACGTCCCACCTTCTGGTCCAGGTGCATCAGGAAGCCATTAGTCAGCTTAGAATGCACATCAGCTGCAAGGACGATAGCAGTCTTGTGAAGGGGCAGCCAAGACCAGAGGCTTTCTTAATTTACCATGAAATGGGCTGGAAGATTTAGAGGGAGAAAAAGGAGCCCGACTTTGTCAAACTCTTCTTTGAAGAGTTGAGGGGCACTGAAGGGGCTCAGTAGGCAGGTTGAATCCAAAGACAATCTAAGGGACATGGAGGCTGCTGAGCCAGAGAGGGAGAATATTTAAATGTTGATTAAAATATTGAATATTGATTTTAAAAATTAGTGGGTGAAGAAACTCACATGAGGCATAGTAGCTACTAAGGTCTGAAATTTCAGCCTTTAAAAGACAAATATACTTATATACTAAACTCTGATACCCTAGTAGTTAAGCATTATTTTAAACAATTTATAAATTAAATCATGTGTGCACCTTACAATCCAATGAGCTGTGGATCCTATTGTTATCCTGTTTTATTAGTGCATGAGCTGACACCTGCCAAGGTCATATGCCTGGCTCACACCCAAACAGCCTGGGCACAAACCTATGTTCTAGCCACCACACGACACTGAGACTCAAATTTTCACGTAAAGATAGATGTACACAGAAAAACAAACATGTCAATCCACAGGCTGTGTTTTCTTTAGATTAAGTAGCAGCAGTTGGAGATCATGGAAAAGATGATGGATAATTAGGACAAGTAAAGGATGATATCAACCTGGTAAACAAACTTTTGAAGGATGACTTCAGCTGGTATGGGTGGGAGAGGAGAGGATAAAGTAGCAACTTGTTCTTAAAATACAACTGTAACTCAACAAAGTTATTTATTCATTTGTAGTTTAAACATAATTGCTTTGCAGACAAATGGGACTTCTGCAGATAAATACCAGGGTAAGGGAAACACTTTTAGGGGATTCAAGGGACCCCAGATATTTTAGATCATAAACCACCTTAAACCTTTACTTTCCCAAACCATAGGAAAAGAGTTTGTTTTATGAAACTTACATAAACCAAATTACGAAATGCAACAAAGATGGCACTATAAAAAGACTCATTAATCTTTTTTATAAACACAGAATAATAAGCAAATTTAAAAGAATGTGAAAAGAGTAATTCACTAGGACTGAGTTTGGGTCATCACTTGACCAAGGATAGTGAAAAATTAATACTTCATATTGAAAGATCAAACATGATTATCTTAATAAAATATTAAAAGGACATGCTAATATGAAACACTCATATAGTTATGGTCAGTTGCTTTTGAAATAAAGGTACTGAGATAATTCAATAGGGGAAAGAATAATGTTATCAGCAAACAGTACTGGAACAATTGGATATCTTCATGCAAAATAATGGTGTTGTATCACTACTTCACATCATATATAAAAATTAACACAAAATTGAAAAGACCTCAATTTAAGAGCTAACACTGTAAAATTCTTAAAGGAAATACAAGTATACATTCCAAGAATGAAAACAGGTTGATGCAAAAAGCTGCACATGAATATTCATAGCAACAGCATTCATAATATAAAAACATGAAAATAACCTACATGTCTATCAAACGAGGAACAGGTAGGGCCAGGGATTTAGCTCAGTGGTTCCACTGCCTGCCTCACAAACACAAGGTCCTGAGTTTCGATCCTCGGTACCAAAAAAAGAAACAAACAAAAAACAAATGAGGAACAGGTAAAATGTGGTGTATTTCCATACAATGGAATATTATTCAGCTATAGAAAAAAGTGATCCATGCTACAAATGAATGAACCTTGAAAATATACCAAGTGAAAGAAGCTAGACACAAAAGGTTATGCCATATATGATTCTATGTATTTTGAACAATCAAATAGGTAAATTTATAGAGACACAAAGCAGATTAATGGTTGCTATAGTTCAGGGCTCAGGGAGGGATCCATGAACTTGTAGGGAACACATGCAAAGCAGAGCACTAGGTAAACAAATACTCAGGCAAATAAAGAAAATGCAATGAAATGTCCAAGTGATTATCTCTAGTTAGTAATTATTGATCCTTTCCCCCTCTAGTTCATATTATTTTATGAGGCATCTGTACTAGCAAGTATGACTTCTAGAATAAGAGGCAGTAAAACATTTAATTGTAACAATATGACAGTTTGAAGTAACTTTAGAGGCCTTCCTTCAAATCTGTGGTCTACAGACCACACTATGGTCCAGCTCTAACCATCTTATTCCTTGGTCCTTTAAAATTAAGTTAGCTTTAATTAATTTTTTAAATTAATTTCATGGGTACATTTTAGGTATACAATATAATGACATTCATCATTGGAAATTTGCACCTTTATATAATCTCTCTTGGTTCTTATTTTTTCCCCATTCCCCTGCCCTCCCTTTAAGCCCTCCATCCTTCACAACTTAAAAAGAATGTTTCCATTTTATCATTTTCTCATATTAATTCCATTCTCTTCTTTCCTTTCCCCTACTCCTCCCACTTCCCCTCCCCTTTGCCCCTTTTCTTCCTATTTCACA